TGGCAGATATTTTCCGGGCTGTATTTTCAAATTCTAGCGCAGTCGAGCTGGTTTCTCCAAAATTACATACCCCACCTTTAAGTACAGTAAACGAAGTATTTGTACTCCACTACTGAAGATAAGTACTTTATTGATCCCAATTTGGGAAATGTTTGCGTTGCAGCAGCATAAAAGACAAGGCAATGTATAAGAGAAATTAAGACACTAGAAATAAACAGTCCAAATTATCAAGGTCAACTTTATTGTCTATCTTTCAGTTTGCATGTACAGACAGAGATCGAAATACCGTTTCCAACAATCCCAAACACAAAAACAAATATATATAAAAATGTTTATGCAGACATGTATATACCATTAGTGCAAGACTTTCCATAGCAGCGTAAAAAAAGTGTCTGGTGCTGGACTTTGACTTGACTTTGAAATTGAGAATAAATGTAAAATGTACAGTGGGAGTTTAAGTCCACTACTTCCCACCTCTGGACCTCAGTCCTCTCTCTGCAGGACTTCACTGTGCTTGAGTACAGTAACGAAGTATTTGTACTCCACTACTTCCCACCTCCGTAACTCACTGCTCTCCTCCTCCTCCTCTTTGCAGGACTTCCACCTGCTGTACGAGGAGGCGCGTTACTACCAGCTGATGCCCATGATCAAGGAGCTGGAGCGCTGGAAGCAGGACCGAGAGCAGCGGAGGACGATGCAGCCGTGCGACTGCCTGGTGGTGCGAGTGACCCCCGACCTGGGAGAGAGGATCGCTCTGAGCGGGGAGAAGGTCCTCATCGAGGAGATCTTCCCCGAGACCGGAGACGTCATGTGTAACTCTGTGAACGCCGGCTGGAACCAGGACCCCACACACGTCATCCGATTCCCCCTCAACGGATACTGCAGGCTCAACTCCGTGCAGGTAACACACACACACACACTCTCACACACACACACACACACACACACACACACACACACACACACACACACACACACACACACACACACACACACACACACACACACTCATACACACACACACAGACACACAGACACTCTCACACACAAACACACACACACACACACACATTCTCACAGACACTCTCACACTCTCACCGACACTCTCACATATCTCACACACACACACACTCACTCACTCTTTCATTCACAATCACTCACACACACACTCACACACACGCTATGTTTGGTGGTGTTTTCTTCCTCTGTGTGTGTGGCATGTTTAATACACACTGTGATGGCAAATCAAAAATAATTAAAACTAAAAGTTCACTCAAAACAAAACTGCCGCTGATTCACCAGATAGCAAATGTTATGCAGGGAAATGACCCAATGTCTAGGCAAGAACATCCTTTGTGTAAATCATATTAGGCATTGAAGCAACACAAATAACAGTGTTTTCATCGTGTTGTCCAGGAGACACAGTATATTTTATGTCCTAAGAGATAATCAAGTATCATACTGTAGGGCCTGCTGTGTGTGTGGGTTGCAATCACTACATCTCAAAGCAGTCTTATGTAACATTGCATTCAGGCTTTATTTACCATCATGGTATCAGATTTAAACTTGGACCAACAAATGAAGTGTTTTAAACTGTAAAAGGAAAACCTACTACACCATTTGTTATAGTGCTTTTTTAGTTTGTGCATTGGTACCTGTACGTTGAAGATAGCAAGTGATACTTCTGCACAAAGTTCACACATCTGACACACACACACACACACACACACACACACACACACACACACACACACGCACATCACTTCAGGGGACATTATATTGACTTACATGCAGTTCCTGGAGACTTGTCCTTACCATAACCAACACATCCCTAACCCTAAACCTAACCAAGTCTTCACCCTAAAACTAATGATTCCCCTTGTGGGGACCTCCATTTTGTCCCCACAAGGGAGGCGAGTCCCCACACGTGACTGTGTAAACAGATTTAGGTCCCCACAAGTATAGTAATGCTAGGCCACACTCACACACACACACACACACACACACACACACACACACACACACACACACACACACACACACACACACACACACACACACACACACACACACACACACACACACACACACACACACACAGTGTAATTCCTGGGGCAAGTACAGTAACACATTCCCAACAGAGAAGGTGTTGAAATAGATGTCAAAACACATCATGTAATGCATGCATTTGTAATGTGAGCGTAATACAATAGTGCTGAAAAACGTAACGGTGTATATATAGGACTTCAAGTAAAGTGTTTCTTAGTATTAACTCTATTTCTGCCCTGAGGTGCTCACTGTAGCTAGCCTTTCTGCATAAGGAAGTGAAGCTAATGATTTAAAAAGCACAGTCAGATCTCCTTGTGATTCTACAATGAAACCCTTGTGCATATTCTTCTAAACACCGTAGCTTTGCCTCTATTAAAGTTTGCTCTGCTGCTGTGTGTGTTTTATGGCATCGGTCCTGTCTCTGAGGTTAGCCGTAGGACCGAGAAACCGTTCCACAAGTCAGTCAACATGATGTGTGTTTCTGCACTCGGCCTGTTGCCAAAGTAGAGACCATTTTATTTGTACTTTTATTTATCCAGGAAGGGATTTTGCTGAGCAAGCACACCATCTCTCAACACTTGCATGCACACTTAGACACCTGGATGGCATTTGTACTGCACAACCAGAGCCTTGATATACAACTCAAAGCATAGCATTCACTGAGATAGATAAGACTGTCACTCTATCAGTCAAGATATCCTGTGTTGGTTTGCAGATTTATTTGGAGGTAACTAGCCAGTGTAAAAGCTATTTTTGTTATTTTGTAAATGCTGAAATTGCACCTTAAAACGTTGTAATTCATTTTGCCGCAGTAGAGATAACAGCTTGCTGTCACTAACTGAGACAATAGCCACTCAGATGGAGGTACAGTCAGAGGTAATGTCAGGTGTGTATGTTGTTTTTAATTTAGTCTTAAGATGGGCTATTGAAGCAGCTTACAAGTGGCTCGTGGCTTTGGCTTTGGTGTGAAATCTGAGCTTCTCCTTGTAGATTATTTTTCAAACACTTTATAGGAGCTGACATATCTTACTTTAAATGTCTTGCTAAAAACATTATTATTATTATATTGTGTTATGGGAAGCATATACGAAGCCTCCCGTGGGGCTACACCCCCATTTTCCCATTTACCTATAATATATACCTATATACAAAAACACAATTGCAGGTAGAGCAGTTTCACACAGTTTCATGACTTTCTGTCAGTAAATAAGCCTTTTTTGTACGTATTAGTTTGGTAGTTATAGCCAGCTTTTGGGTCTATTTGACACAAAATATTTAGCTTAAAATTAAACATTTATTCTTTAAATACGCATTTTGTTTGGTGCGTCATACCTGGAGACTCAAGGGAGGTTTGGCATTTGGCTTTGCCTCTACACACTCTGACTGAGATCTCATTTAAAAACTAAGTTGAGTGAAGCAGTAAGACATTAAAAAAAAACCTTCAGAAATCTAGTTTTACAGTTGCGTTACCCCGAGAGGTCTGTGAGAGTGAGGTGGGGGGGGGGGGACATAACAGCCTCACAACACACACTCCAAGTAACACACTCCGGAAGAAAAAAAGGCTTATTTACTGACAAAGTGCGACCATGAAACTGTGTGTAACTGCTCTACCTGCAATTGTGTTTTGATATAGGTAAATGGGGGTGTACAGTATAGGCTATATTGGCTGTGAGAGTGAGTGAGGGCTTAAGAGGTGACGTCACTCTAATCATATTTAACTTATCCACTCATGTAAATTTTCGACAGTGTATAGGTGAGAAAGGACAGAAGTTATTTTGGAGTATTTATGAGACAAGGTCTGAAATCCGTCCCACGACCGAACACACTACCCACCCAGGTCCTGACTTTAGTCATAGAATAACAGACCGTCCATTCTGCTCCTAATGAAGGATTGGGAAAGAGTATGGAAGTGCCTTGTTTCTCTCTTCCTGTCTTACTCTTTCCTAAAATCTTTTTATAGACGAATGTGCATTTTTCGTGTAGGTACCACGACAGGACGCACAACAGGAGTAGATGTAGCTGAGTTACTCGGCCTAGGGGGAAGACTGTGACGCAAGGACGTATAATAACACACTCTCGCAATTTGTAGTACAACAGCAATTAGACCACAAGAATTTCCACCGACAGTTGTCTGGTCTCTGCGCCCACTAGTCCTTTGGCATGTCTAGGAGAACAGACGAGCGTCCTAAAAGTCAGATAGTCTACCTCGTTTGGAATTTGTTTATGTTATTGATAAAGTCTGGTACAATACAAGTATGTGTAGGTATTGGTGGGAAGTGACCATTAGTACTCATCACTTTTACAAGAACAATACAACCTACGCCGGGTAATTAATATAACGGTCCAGTAGAATTGTTTAGATATTTTCATTCATTATATTTGCCAAATCCTGACAAACCTCTTAACATTCATACATAATTTTTTACGTTATTAGCACATTTTTAAAGGTTAACAGCGGGCTCGCAAAAATAATAACCTCAGAAAAATATTTTTTTTTTTTTGATCGACACAGATTTCCTTCTCAATTTCGCATTTAATACGGTATAGTGAGGGTGGAGAGGTAAGGAGAAAGAAGTAAATAAGCGTCCGTTTTGTACCGCGTCAGGGCGGTCGAGACAGGGCAAGCGAGTTTGTGAGGAGGAACTTCCTCCAGAGGTGAAACCCCCTCACCTCCACAGTACGCGTCATTGGACAGACCCCTCTCGACGACCACCCCCCCCTCTGAAGGATGACATACACACCGGACAATTACCGACACCGGTGGCCTAACACAATGACCTCACACCAACAAGGGGAGGGG